CTTTCTTTTCTCCTCCTCGGCCCCTCCAACCCCGGCCCCGCAGGAACAGGGGAATCTTTACACTCTCACCGGCCAGCTTCTGAGTGTGTGAGTGCTCCTAGGGACAGTACTTTCATATTCCTGTTTTAGAGAAATTGGCACCAGGACATTCTTACTCTCCCAAGTGTTTTCTGAATAACTTTTCGGTTTTGGTTTTACAATTTCTTCGCAGCAGCTGCACAGGATCTCTTTTGGCACCTCCTTTTTGGGGCCGCTGAGCTCCCCCCAAAGAACTAGTCAGTCACCTGTCTTTGGAGTGTTATCCTTTGGAATTGGATTCCTGGGCTAAGGCTTGCTAGTGGATGTTATCTGGGAGTTTCGTGATGAAATCCATTTGGGAAAGTATTGTGAAGTGAATAGCAACAGTGCGTTGGTAATTGGATTTTTAAAATAAGTGCTCATGGTCGCATGGTCGCGCAGTTCAGAAAAAAAAAAAATCTGACCTTGCTCGGTTATATGTTAAATATAAAAGCCAATTTAAAAGAGCCACTTCTCAAATGAAGGGTGCTGTGCTGCAGCCCCACATGGGCGCATAAAATTAAATATTGGGGTTGAACAATTAGCATGTGTGGCAACAGCAAATGTGTGATCCCTTTGAGCAATGATTTGAGAGTTTTTGAAAACATGCTTGATGCCTCATTTCTTTGATGGCTGCTCAATAGACACCACGAGGCTAGCGGCTAGCGTCAGACTAGATGCTAGCTGAGCCACCCCCTCTCCAGCTTCCCTCTTGCGTGCAAGCGCTTTCATCCAGGGCTTGAATTGTGTTGTCAAAGTTTAGTAGAGGAGGGGGCATGAGAACCAAGGGGGGGGACCCTTGAAAAGTCTTGGAAATCGGTATATTTTGCAGGTGTAGAATGTGCCTAATAACCATGGCTAGTGTGCGCTCCCCAATGGTGAGGGTATGACAGGGACAGCTGGCTCAGTTTTCAGTGTGAAAACACCCCCTCGGTGGACCAAACACAACGACACTGACCTTTCTGCGGGGGGAACCAGAGATGTGCCTTTGACTGAATTAGCCATAAAGACGTCTTGCTATGACTTTTGTTCCCCACGAAAGCAAGGAAATATTGCGTTTAATATGAGAAGCACTGTTCACAGCTTTTCCATGCCCCTTAAGAAATATTACAGTGCTGATTTACTGGCCTTCTTCTACTGAGCTGCCCCCAAGGCCAGGGTGGAGGGGTCCGGCTGGGAGGCCAGGACAGAGGAGGTAGTGGAGGCTGCCCGCTCAACTGCCGGTTTCCAAAGTTCTCTCTTTGCAACAGCAAATTTATCAATCTTTTCATCTGACAATACTTTGAAATATATCATTGTCATCCAGAGTTCTTTGATAGATTATTTGCAGGCACACAGCCTTTTCCAAGGTCAAGTTGAAGATTCTTGTTTGCTGTTTAACTGGGTTATTTAAAAACTCAGCACAATGCCTGCCTGTTAAGTTTTCACTTGTTCTCAGATGGCATTCAAAAGCAAGTTTGCCTATTGACCGAGTGTGGGGACATTTCATCCTCTTGCCCTTCAAAATCCAGCAACCAAAGCTTGGCAATGAAATCAACAGATGAAGAAACGAGACTTAGCCTTAGCACTTGCAAACGCCGAGGAGATTAAGCCATCTTTCACATCTCCTCAAAGTGTGTTCTAATTTTTCTCTGCATGTCTCAGGCTGGATATAGCCACACACATCTCATCCAACCTTCTGCTTTTTTTTTCGTGGAAAACTGCGAATATACTCCCCTGAAACAAGTTCAAAGAAATTGTGGCCACTCTTGTCTTTGTCAGTGCATAACCTGTTGCCCTAAGGACACTTTAAAATAAAGTCAGCCTCTAAATTGTAATGTTTTATGGGCATATTTGTGTTTTTACGGGAGTGACTGGCTTCGCAGTTTCCTCTATATCTGCGATGATTGATATTTTTTATTTAGCCAACTTTTATTTACCTTGCAAAAATGTTCTGGACCAATGTGATAAATTACAGATATGCAAATTTCTTTGAATGGTGTTGTAAGTGTGTCTAGCTGGAGCTGAATAACTCCTTGCAAGTCAGTCTGTGCGCGCTCAGGACCCCAGGGAGCTGATCAAAGCACCCATTCTCTTTCATCCCCAGTATTCTCCTCCAAACTATTTCGATACAATATGTTTCCATGATGCACTTAATGTGCTAGGGACATAGAACTCATTACACCCTAGCTAGTTCTGCCGACCTCTTTGTTCTGAGGCAGAAAGTCAAAGAAAAAAGGAAAAGCACTGCCAGTTGCCAGCTTTCTGAAATGCTAAAGCATGCGTCATTTTTCACCAGGTCTCGTCTTGATATCCTCAAAAGACAAACTATGAAACCGGCCTCAGCCCTTTCTGGCATTAATTACACTGCTGTCCAGCCGATCTGTTTTTCCTATTATATGCATTTCTCAGCAGGGTTTTTTTTTTTTTTTTTTTGCAAGACAAATGCAGCTGCAAGTTAAACTATGAATGCATTTTTATCACTATGGAAAAATAAGTGAAAAGGCTGCAAAACGCATAACTAAAATTTTTTTTCTATATATATACATAGGCTTCTGGAAGACAGCATATTTAGGAAGGACTTGGGAAGTGTGGTGACTTCTCTAACCCTAAATTCATTAGGAGCCCAAGGCATTTCCAATGCGCCCTCAGTGTTCATGGGAGACACTCATTGTGCAATTTGAAATTCTGCTGTGGTGCCCAGATAAATCTTGGAGGTGAGACCTTTCAAGGCTTCTGTTAAAATTCAGAAATGAAACAGTTTGTGCTACCCCCAACCAGAAGGCTGCTTCCAAGGAATTTCCGTCTAGGATAATAGCACAGAGAATATAACTTCTATTTCATTTCCTCTGTTTCTTGTAGGGTTGATTGGTTGGTGGAAATGGCTGGCAGCCAGTTCTGGGAAAGATTCCAAACCTGACTCCGATTAACCCTCTCTGGTGAAACTCTGCTGGAAACCAACTCACCAGCAATTGCCATTAATCTACTTACTAATTAAGCCAATTCATTTCTAAAGGAGAAAAATTCCTTTCTTTAGCCAAACTGATGGGAGGAAATTTGAAAGAAGCGCCAAACTGTGTAACTGTAATTCAGCCAAGGACTGCTAAAACAAGGTGTTGATATATAGCAGTAGATTTAAAACAAGTTTCTAGGGCAACACTTCTTTGGAGACGGTGGCATATAGTGCATAGTAGATGAAGCTCGAATAATGCTCCACAGCACTATGCCACCCCATGTACTGGTGTGGAAAGTCACACGTCTCTCTCCAATTAAAGCTTGTGCTTTTTACGCACAAATAAATTGCCTCCTTAGCTTCCTTCTGCACCAGAGTACCTCAGCTCTCTGTGACAACTACCATACATACATTTCCTGAGACTTAATGTTTTTCAAAATCTGTAACCCTGAACTTACAAATCTGAAACTGGGATCCAGACAGGGCCTAACTTGGAGTTAGAAGAACAAGTACCGGAGAAGGAGAACATTACACAGAAGAAAGCAGGGCGGCCTTTCAGTTAAATGGTGCCTGTCATTGGCGGAAGAATAGATGTGTGAGTCTTGGTCTTGATCCCTACTGGGCAGCCAAAGAGTTTCCGAACCTAGTACAGAATTGTTTACGACTTTTAAACCCTCTTTCGAGGGGCTTCTCTGTCATGGGGATTAACTAACTGGGGGATGAAGAGGCTGGTAGTGAATTGCACTTCGTGTTATAGAGATACCAAACCGATGCCGAGAGAGGGGGTGAAACAAGTTGAGTGCCTCAAGATTTTTAATTGAAGCTCGTCCCTTCCCAACCGCCTGAGTTTAGGAAGTGCTGGGATGGATCTGGCGACGCTAGGGCGAGCCTGGCTCACCCGCACCAACCAGCAGTTAAGGGCTTAGAAGGAAGCTCACCAACCCGCGCCTCGAGTTTCTCAAGTGCTGCTCCAATTAATGCACGTCATCCACTTATTAGAAATGCCTACAAGACCGTACCGAGCCAGAGAGGCGGCTTTATGACCACTTGGTGTGGGCCATCTCCTGTGGTCCAGCTTGGTGCAGCCGCTCAGTATCCTGCTGGTTAATGAATGCTCTCCTTATCAGTCGTTGGTATCGAGGACTTCAGTGAATGTTTCGCTGCCATTTTCACTAAAAATATGAAAAGATGAACAGATGTGAAATTTGTGTTAATTACTGTACATAAGCCACCCCCCACCCCTCAACCTTGTCTTGAATCCCCCCCAGGCCTACCCCAGCTTGGGGAAACTCTTCCCTGGAGAGAGGAGGCAAAGAGGTGGTGAGCGAGCGCCTCCTTGGCCTTCAAAATAGTACCTCAGCCAATTTTTCTTTTCTGACACAGTTTTCCTGTGGTCCTGGACTATAAGAGATGGTCTTAGGCATGGGTGACTAACTAGTACATCACCTGCTGAGAGTCCCCTTTCTAAAATTAGGGGCCATTGTAAGATAATGAAAAAGAATTGGAGAGGTTGTCCTGGGTTTGGGTCCAGGGACCGAAGATGTAAATGTCCATTTGCTGCTCTGTCTTTCTTCCACATGAGGTAGACAATTGTGAGTGAAAAGGAAAAAAGATCAAAAGAACGGGGAATAGTTCTGAAGTTGGGAAATGGAGCACACCCAAGCTGGACTCCCTGCTCTGTAGGGAGGGGCATTTACCTGGTGTGTAAATTGTGAGGAAAGCGTTGGGGGTCTGAGACAGCGAAGTCACAACATGGGATGTGATGTTCCAGCTTTGAAGGGAAACAAAGGCCCCAGCTAATCCCAGTGAAAGCCAGGGGCGTGAAGAAGGCAACAAAGCATTGCAGCCTGTGGTCACCGGTAGGTGTCAATGTGGACACTTACAGCCCGGGAGTGGGAGAGGGGAACACAGAGCCAGGCTGTCATTCCAAGGCTTAACATGAACAAAGATAAAAACGTGACAACCTCTGCTTTCAATGGTGGGGAGGTTCAAAGTGGAGTGCTTGGGAGTCTATCTGGGTCAAGTCTTTTATCACACAGTTTTCTTTTTCTAGTCAACTATCAACCAGGGATGTTCTGGGGTCCTCTCCCAAGGTAACTTTTCTGACTAAAACAAGAATTCTTCAAACTAATGTCCAATTCCACCCACTGTCTAAGGTGAAGAAATGGAGCTTTTAAATGGCATTTTAAATGGCATTGTCTCCTGTTCCCCATAGGTGCTGCTGGCTGCATTAAGACTTTATGAACTTGACAGCCTACCTTAACTTTTTGGATTAATTTCAACTGCTGTTTTTCACATTTAATAAATAAGATTTCCTTTTAAGAAACTAAGCATACATGCAGCTGGGCATATGGGTTCCATAATTTAGAAAGACTTCACCTGACAAAGAAGTTTCAGTAGTAAAACCCTTTGAGGAGTAAGTATGCCCTTGATTTCAGGCTCTTTATTAGAATTCATCAGACAGAGCAATTACCAAATTATGAATCTCCCCTATAATCTGGGAAAGGTATTTGGGAATCTTCTGCCAATACAAGCTGTTAGCAAAGACTATCTTAGAGGACTAATACATTGAAGAAGAAATTATGTTTATCCTAAGAATTCAGGCATATTGTATTCCTTATATTTGTGATTAACATCAAAAAAGCTAAAAAATCATAATGTCATAAAAATCTGGTTTTCTTTAGTTAATATAAGTCTTCTAAATAATAATAAAAAGGATGTAAATATCCTTAAAAGACTAATGACATTTCACAGGTAATGCAATTTAGAAAGAAACACTTCCATGTTTTCTTTTCCAACAATGTGCATTTTTGTAAACTGCTATAAATTGCAATTCAAAAGCACTGATCTCGCCATCCCCAATCATTTTTTATACTGATCAAATGAATGCAGATACTCCCATTTGGGAGGGGCGACATGACATTTCACTTGGCAGTTCTAAACAGGTCACAGACCTTTCACAGACCCTAAGGCAGTGGGAGGGAGCTCTTTACTAAACCGTGTAACCAAATCAAACCAATGGTTACCCCTTTTCAAAACCATTGGAATGGTTTGCACAATGCTATTCACATAGCAGCACAGAAACTGAAAGGATGGTCATCCAATGGAAATTTCTTTCCTTTTGTTTAAACTTGCAGAGCTCAAAAACTAATACTTGAAGGAAAACAATTACATCTGCTATGATTAAAAAAATGTATAAACAATCAGCGTGCATTTTTATTGGCACGACTAGACATAACAGTAACCATCCATTGGCATGTATATATATGCACATGTACATATGTTTATGTATGTATATTTATTAGAGATGTAGCTTTGTTTGAAACCTTAGGCACAAAGACACAACATGGCTGCCCTGGAGATGACCTATTGCTTTCAAGTTGCTTGAACACATCAGAATTTCCATTGTTAAGGTTGATTAATTGAAACTGATAAGTCACCATGAATAAAGATTGTTTTTCTGTTTAATGTGGTGGGCCTGATTTGGTAAATGCCTCATTCATGTAGCTTTGCAGCACAGCATATGGGCAAGAGTCATTCAGTATCACAAACATATACAATTTATTATGCTTGTATGGGCACAACCAAAAGGCCTTTCTATCTTAATGACATAGTTGCAATGAAAAATTCCATTTAAAGAGTCACTAGTAACTTGAAGTATGATTTTTGTAATTTATTCTCAGGTTTCTATATCTGAGGTTCTGTGAACAGTTTAAAAGGTAACCCACTGAAATACAGTAAAAAACAATTCATATCCAAATTACACATTAGCATTGTCACTGAATACATAGAAAAATTCACCTTAAACCTTAGCGGACATATGGAGAAGAAACACTTTTACCATATGTTGCCACTTTGTGGGCCAAGCTATGAAGTTACCATAAATGTTTCACTGAGATGCCACCAAGGATAGCGCATGTTGTCCAATTTATAAGGAAACACCAAGGAGATTGGTGATAACGTCACCAACTTCTGGATGTCTCTTTGCTCTTATTTAATAAAATCAGAAGACAATAATTAAATATAACTTCGGCAATACCACATGAAAACAGTGGACTTACTAATTTTGCCACAATTTAATTATTGCCAGTTTCCTTTATTTGAAAGTTGATGTCATTTTAAAAATGTTAACTACATTAAAACTGTCATGAATATTTGCCAATAAAGGTAAGGCTTCTATTTTTGGTAATAATATTGTGTAGAAATCAGCCCCCTCTTTTCTTTCATTTAGGCTGTTCATATAATCAGAAGAGAAATAACAAAAAATATATGAAAGAAATGCTAATGAACTAGAGAAATGACTGTATCAAACCATCAAAGAGATAGTTACCATATTCAGCCTTTAATGTCTTATCAAATAAATTTTCTGGTCATTCATGTCCATGAAACAGTTCAAGTTCACCCAACATTTCTCAATTAAATTAGATGGGTAATCTCAGTTCAACTCTTCTGGAGAGTAATAAACCACATTGGTCACAGTTGACCACAGCTCGTATGTGTTCCATAAAGGACTGGATGTCCGTTGGAAAGCTAATCAGTGCATCGTCACTTGTAAAATTCCCTCCTGCATTTTGAAGTGATAATCTGTATCTAATTTTTAAAGAAAAATTTACTCTCCTTTCACTCTTCTGAGGCCAATTTCTTTTCTGGACCTGAATAGAGATCATTGGTGAAACAGTACCAAATAGCTTTGGTATGTGTCTAACAAAAACCCACCTCTTTGTAGAACATAACAAATTATGCAATGTTCACAGATGCGCTTCACATTGTGCCTTTTGTGAGAAAATGAAAGCTCAACTCTATTCCTCACTCCCCTCTGTATGAAAGACTGAGCTCCCAATGCAATCTGTCCTAATCCTAGAGAAAAGTAAATATACTTAATATGGAAGCTTTAGGTAGCTATTTTTAAAAAGATTTTCACTTGGAATTTTGTTCTAGGTAATTTGCACAAGTACGAATTTGAAGTTACAACTATCCTATAAACAAATGAGTGGGGGGGGGCATCTAAGATCACACATTTAACTGCTCTTCTCAATTTTGAGCCTTGGCTATTTAGCAGAAATATTATTTTCATACAATTTCATGTTTGTATTTATAGGTTACCAAAGAAATATAGGAATTTCTTCTATTATAATTTAAAAATACACAGAAAAAAATTTAAATTTTCTTTCTGTACTTTAGATTTTTATTATCCTTTTGACAGAAGAAACTATACAGATAGAAAATCCTGAGCAATAAAGAATGCAGAGAGGCCTCTCAGGCCTGTCCTGCCTCATTGCACGTTCCTGGTATTACTTACACTGACTGGGCTAGGCTTTGCGGATTAGTCTTAGAATATAAATTCCAAGCACTAAGAAGACTCTGTACCTTCATTGTAGGCCTAGCCCAAAGCTTTGCTTATAACAAGTGTTCATAAAGTCTGTACAATGAATGAGTGATAATAGAGAGGTGCGATCTTCATGGTATCCATGATTTTGAGGTTGTCTCCCACAGTGACTCTGGTCTTAGCCATGACACATGCTTTAACTATGGGATAGAAGCAAAGGTAATGCACAGTACTTAAAAAAGAAGGTAGGTAGGGCATAGTGTCTGGACATACATTTGAAGAGTATGATATTCTCCAAGTCATATAGAGTGTTGTGCATCAACATCACTGCAATAAAAAGTAAAACAACGAAGAAGCTTAAAAACGATGGATATGAACAAAATGCATGTTTTGATGCAAGAACAACAATAGCGATGTCACTGTTTAGAAAGTTTCTTAGAATAGATTATAGAAAACCAGATGAAGAGTCTTTGAGCCAGAAATATGAAGACAACTGGTTTAAACATATAGGACATTTTTTGGACAAAAGAGCGCAATGGAGTAGTGAATTTATTATTTGAATATCACATGGATGTGATAAATAAAAATTTAAAAATAGAAAACAAAAAAAAAACTGGGCTAAAGAAGATTAACATTTCTCTGATAAAGAAATTCAAAGCAATGAACCAGGGTGTGACAGGCTAGACTGTATCCCCCAAGATGGTGAAGTCCTAACTCCCAGTCCCTGGAGATATGACCTAGGCTATTTGCAGATGAAGTCATTAGGGATGGCCCTTATCCAAAGTGTCTGTACTCATAAAAGGTAAAGTCTGTACTCATAAAAAGTAAAGTTGGACAGAGAGGGAA